GAGGTTGTTGTGTACCCAATTTGGTCTCATTGGGAGCATTGGAATTTCCTCCAATAAGACCATTTCCAAAAACGCTGAAAATTTTGAAAATTTGCTGAATCCAAAATGTCATTCAAGTGCACTTTTGCCTTACTGTTTCACCCTGTTTTTATTTTTATTTTTTGTTTTTTTTAAATGATTTGTTAATATGGTGTGCACTCTATGGAATGATGCAATTTTTGGTTAAAAAGGGCTTCTGGTTTTCTTATAAACAGCATTCAAAAAACGCTGAAATTTTGGGTCTCCGTTGGCTGGCGCCCCTCCAGCTTGGGGTTCTTGCTCCTCCTCCGCCCACCTGTCCTCCTCCCGCTTGCGCTTTCACCCCACTACCGATTGTCCCTTGTCCTCCTCGTGTTCTCTGGAAAAAAATTGTTCGCCTCCTTCTTCTTCCACGATATTCCAGGTCGCCCGCGAAGATGACTGTGCTCAGGTCATTCGTTCCTCTCCATTTCTTGCTTTTCCTCTTCGACGATGCTGCTTTCCACTTCTTGTCCATCCTTTCTCACTGCACTGGCTGCCCGTGGGGAGTTGCTCCCTCTACTGGCTATGGCCGCTGCCTTCCGGCGGATCGAAGTCAACTCTTCCACCCAGCGGTCTAACCCCAGGACCCGCCGCCGTCCGGCGACGTTGCACTTGGGTCAAACCAGCCGTCGCTGCTAGGGCCGGTCGGGCCTGCCTTCCGGTCGCAGCGCGGAGCTAGCGCTCCTAGCGCGATTCAGAGAGAGAAATTAGTCTCAAGCTGGGAGATCTCCAGATTCTTCCATCGGACTTGACAATGCGGACTGCTGACCTGACCAATGAAGAGAAGACAACCACGGATCGATGTCCTGACGACCAGACATGACGTTGACCACCAGAGACCAGTCTTGGGAATAGCGTGCGAGGATGATGCGGAGGAGGAAATAGGGAGGGTGGGATGGCAGAGATCCCCTGAGGCTGTGAGATAGGAGCAGCCCCTCGCCGAAACTTAGGCGAGAAGAATGACTCCTCCTTGTGAGTGGTGCTGACTGCAGGTGCTGTGGGTTTCTTTTTTTTTTTTTTTTTTTTTT